TCTTTCTTTCTTTCTTTCTTTCTTTCTTTCTTTCTTTCTTTCTTTCTCTCTTTCTTTCTCTCTTTCTCTCTTTCTTTCTCTCTTTCTCTCTCTCTTCCTTCCTTCCTTCCTTCCTTCCTTCCTTCCTCCCTTTCTTCCTTCCTTCCTTTCTTCCTTTCTTTTTTCCTTTCTTCCTTTCTTCCTTTCTCTCTCTCTTTCTCCTTTCATTTTATTAATTTATAGATACTAGAAGAGCAGCAAAGGATCTGTCTTGAAGTGTCTTACCTGGAGCCAACCAGACACCTGTGGAAGAGCTGGAAACTGGAAAGAGAGGAAGGGATGAATCCTGCATCAGCCCTCTTGGTCCTTGGCACATAATCAGCCACCAGGGCCAGAAATCCCTGAGGGGACTGTGAAACCTCCAGGTTTGCAGATGATGCTGAGTAGTTTGAGGAGTCAAATGCCACAATGCTGGTGAGGAGCTCCAGGAGGAACCTCAAAACATGGTGTGAGATGACAAAAAGGTGGTAGGTGAGCATCAGTGGAGGTTAATTTAAAGAAATACACCCAAGGAAGAATAACCCAACCTGGGTGTATGGAGATACTACACTTGGAAATGGGAGCTACTAGAAAGTGGATCACTGACAGCTCTCTGAAATCATCAGCTCAATGTGCCAAAAAGCCAAAAAAAGCAGAAGGTGCCATGAGGAAGGGTATTGAGAAGGAATCTTTGTCTTGCTGCTGAGCAAAACCTTGGTGTGCCCTCACCTCAGACACTGGGTGAGGTGCTGCTCTCCAGTGCTGGAGGAATAGAGAGTAGAGAGTGGCTGGGGGGCTCCTTCCTTGTAGGTTGGACAAGGTAAGAAGTCCTTAAGTCAGTAGTAAAAGAAACAGGCAGGATTCCCCATGAAGGGGTGGGGGTTTCCATGGGGAATGGACCAACAGAGGGTGGCCAGGTTTACTCAATCCTCCTCCCACTGGTGGAGATAAAGTATGGGATAATTGATCCATCCTCTGCCCCTTTCTCCTGGTCCTCACCTGCACCTGACTTGGCTGAGAGCTGAGACCTGAGGTGAGTGTGAGAACAGGGTGCAGCACACAAATATTTCCCAGAAAAGCCTCCTGGACATGGAGCATTTGTGGGTCACAGATTTCCCAACCCAGAGGTGTTGTTTTCTTTAGGACGGGATTCTACTTTTTTCTTTTTTTTTTTTTTAAAGGAAAAAGAAGACTTTGAAGACAAAGTTTGTTATTAGAGGTGACATGCCAACTGTGGGTAGGTGCCAAGTGCAAGACTTTATTTTGACTGCTGTCTCATGAGGAAAGCTGGCAGCTGGAAGGGCAGGGAGGCATGTCCTGGAGAAGGTGAAGAATTTAGCCAGACTGCTTTCAACAGCCTCTTTGATGCTGGGTGGCTGAGAAAACAGAGCTGTGCTCTCTGTGGGACAAAATATCTTTTAATAATTGTCTTCTGGGTCACATTGGGTTACAGCTTGAACTGCTGCATGGACCCAATTCAGGCAGCAGAACAGCGTTTCACAGAGTCGAACCATAGGATCATTCAGGTTGGAAAAGCCCTCCAAGATCATGGAGTCCACCCTGTGCCCGATCCCCACCTTGTCTCCCAGCCCAGAGCACTGATTGCCACGTCCAGTCCTTCCTTGGACACCTCCAGGGATGTCATTTAGCTTTCAGGCTGAATGAAGAAACAGTTCTGTGTTCAAGGAAAAGAGATTGCAAATGGAACTCATACAGATTGAGAGGACCATCAGTGCTTTGTAGCCACAGCGTGAGAAAGACACCCAGGGAAAAAAAAACCCAAACACATTCTTCGTGACAGCCCACACGTTGTTTTCCTGCAAAATAACTGTCTCCCCTTATCAGGATCACAGGTACTATGTAGCAGGGTTTGACTGAATATTAGGAAGAAATTCTTCCCTGTGAGGGTGGGGAGACCCTGGCACAGGTTGCCCAGAGAAGCTGTGGCTGCCCCTGGATCCCTGGAAGTGTCCAAGGCCAAGTTGGATGAATCTTGGAGCAACCTGGGCTGGTGGAAGGTGTCCCTGTTCATGGCAGGGGTTGGAACGAGATGATCTTTAAGGTCCCTTCCAATCCAAACCATTTTGTGATTCTTTTCCTTCATAAGGACAAGGAAAAGCAAGGCTGAAGACGTGCCTGCAGCTGCTCAGAACCAGGGCCATGCTACAAGACACGTGCCCACCCTTTCATCTCCTTCCACTTAGAAAGGCACATTCCTAAAAAAAAAACCCCAACCCCATGGTTTTTAACATGCTGCCACACCAGAATGACTGTGCTGAAAACAACATCAGGGCAAGGCAAGTTTGGTAGACTGAAAGATCAAGAGGCCTGGAGGAATCATTTAATAATTGCATTTTTAACTTTTTAAATATGCACGAATGTTTCCATATTTCCAGCTTTTGTGGAGGGCGGAGGGAGGAAGAAGAGTATGAGATAAAGACAGCTGGCTTCCTTTGTACAAGACAGGAACAGTTTAAGCTAAAGTATCTTAACACCTCTGTTTTTCCATATATTCACCCATCACTTTACACTCAGATTCACACCCCAGAACTGATATTTTTCCTTCAGAGGCACAACACAAAGGTGTTAACTTGAATTTATATCTAAACACAGAGTGGTTGCACACATTTAGCTTGGCTCAAGCCCACCAGCCTATGCACTATTGCAGTATTTTCTCCAACAACCTTAAATTCTGACTGGTTTGGGGTTTTTTGGGTTATTGTTTTCATCCTGCAGAGGTTTTAGGTGAACAAGGGTTAAACAAACAAAAAATAAAGAAAGGAACTCCCCTGAAACTTTTTAAATGGAAAAGCACACACACCATTTTCTTTTCAAGAGGTTTTAATGAAGACTCATATTTTTAAACCTCTCACACTGTACAACACATTTAAATGTACATCAAGCTCAGATAAAAAATAAAGCTTTCTTACAAAGTACGTTTTTCCAGTGATTTTTTTTCCTTTTTTTTTTTTTTGCAGTAAAAATAGCTGCTACATAAAACCCTCCTGATCTTTGAAAAGGAGTCACAGTTATTTCCAAAAATAGAATTCATATTTTAATCATACAGAATAAACTGCAGGAAGAAGAGACAAGTGAACTGAAAAAATAAGGCTCGTATATAAATTTTTTTTTTTGTTTAAAAGTACATGCATAGAAGTTGAAAAAACATATGCCATTTACAAAGAAAAAAAAAAAGGTAATTTTATCCATATTCATATTTTCACTTTCAGTTATAGAAGAAACCACAAACAGGCCCTTTTATGTCCCAGAATACAACATTAGTTTCCTGTAAAAATGCCAAAGTGCACAAAGAATTGCCAGCTTTGGCAAAACTCTGAGCCAGCCCCCCCCCCCCCCCCCATATTCATGCATACTGAGCACTTCTGTTGTCTCTCAGGCCAATTAAATATTTGCAGAAGTTTGTATATCCTAGACAAACATGAAAAAAACCCCCACATCTGATAAGTTTACATTCATCCTATTTCAAAACCACACATACAATTAGTTTAATTTACACTATACAGTATCTGTTAAATAGGAACATTAGAGTTTCCAAAGGAATCACAGAATATATATATATATAAACTCAATATTGAAATGGTATGATTTTCCTTCCCTTTTTTTTAAAGGGTGGGTTGTTTTTTTGTTGGTTTTGTTGGTTTTTTTTGTTTTGTTTTTTTTTAACAGTTGCTACATCTGGTTTTGGACACGGAGTGCTTATGTACCTGTGCAGCACATTCCTGGAGCAGTAATAACAATAATAATAATAATAATAATAATAATAAAACGTGCTTTAAAACAAAAGTACTATCGGTCTCCTCGCTGCTCGTTTTCAAATAAATTAGCTTTTCGTTTTTAAATAAAGATGCAACGATAATCTTTACGCGATAAAGATGCACGACGTAAGCAGTGACGGCGTCTTAAAAACATCTGAGCAACACTTCTGCTGCACCGCTGGTCTCTCCACACCCCAACCTTTGGTTTTAAAGCCACCCCTTTATTTACAGGGCGGCGTTAAAAGTAGCCGAAAACGCCTTTTGCGCGGCGGGAACGCCGCATCCCAGAGCATCCCAGAGCGTTTTCCGTGTCCTCGCCACAGATCCAGGGGGCTGCGCCGACCGACAACACCCAGAGGCCCAAAACCTCCCTCAGGCTCTCGCACCCGCCAAGGTCCCGATTTCCCCAAGAGCGGCGCCCCGGCCGGAGCACAGGCGGGAGAACAGGCTCCCTTCCCACACGGAGTCCCCACACCAGGTGGTCTTTCCCCCCCTCTCCCCGGGGCGGGGGGCTCAGTCCTCGGTATCGGGCTGGACACCCAGCATGGCGTGGAGCTCCTCGGCCGTGTAGCCCAGCAGGTTGTGGAGGTCACAGACGAAGCGGTACACGTAGCGCTTCCCCGACGTCTTGTGGATGATGTTCTTGTCGTAGTAGTAGCGCAGGCCCCGGCTCAGCTTCTCGTAGTTCATCTTGGGCTTGTTTTTCCTCCTCCCCCACCGCCGGGCCACCTGAAAGGAAAGCCAAAAAAAGGGTTTATTAGAGTCGGGGTTTTCTGATAAACTCAAGTATTAAGGTCGTTTCCTCGGAGCGTTTCGTTTGCTTTGGGTGTCCCGGCCTCAGGTAGGGATTGGTGACCAACCCTACAACACAACATGCTCCAAGACAATTGTCAGCAGCAACTTCAGGAGAAGAATTGGTGTCCAAGCTCATAACAGAACATGCTCTGAGACAATTGTCAGCAGCAACTTCAGGAGAAGAATTGGTGTCCAAGCCCATAACAGAACATGCTCTGAGACAATTGTCAGTAGTAACTTCAGGAGAATTGGTGACCAACCCCCACAACACAACCTGCTGTGAGACAACTGTCAGATGCAACTTCAGGAGAAGAACTGATGTCCAACCCCACAACAGAACGTGCTCTCAGACAACTGTCAGCAGCAACTTCAGGAGAAGAACTGGTAACCAACCCCACAACAGAATGTACTCCGAGACAATTGTCAGCTGCAACTTCAGGAGGAAGCAGCTGATAGCAAATGTCACTGAAAAGTGATACCAGTTTGAGGTGGATGGGCCAGAACGTGCTTGAGGAGGCCAAATTTTAAAGGAATTTCACTGAAATCCCTTAAGGAATTTCTTAAGGGGAGTCACTGAATATCCTGAGCTGGAAGGGTCCCACAAGGATCATCAAAGTCCAACTCCTGGCCCTGCACAGGACAACCCCAAAAATCACTGAATAACCCAAGTTATAAGGGTCCCACGAGGGTCTTCAAAGTCTAAATGCCAACTCTGCATGGGACAACCCCCAGAAACACTCAATATTCTCAAAATGGAAGGGTCCCACAAAGGTCATCCATACACAACTCCTGGCCTTGCACAGGACAACCTCAAAAAAAAATTATCACTGAATATCCTGAGTTGGAAGCATCCCACAAGAATCAAAGTCCAACTTGTGGCCCTGCACAGGACAACCCCAGAAACCCAACCATGTGCCTGAGAGCATTGTCCAAAGACTTCTGGAACTCTGGCACATTGTCTGCTCCCTCAGGAAAACAGCATTTCACCACTGATATGCTACTGAGCAGCACAGGACAGCTCTTTAACTGAGAGGTGAATGATATGAAGTTCCTTGGAGTTAATTATTTATCCCTCCTCCCTCTTTTTAATAAAGAGACTTCAGTGGACTTTATATCCCACCTCTCAATAAAATAACTCCCCTACTGATAACAGTGTCAGAAAATGAAAGTGCATCCTATTTATTTTTAATGACCAAAGTTATAAGTTCCTGAAATACTTCATTTCAGGTGGCAGTTCAGACCCTAAATCTTTCTGTTCACCACAATTAGCCACATACCTCATCTGGATCAGCAAGTTTAAATTCCCATCCATCTCCTGTCCAACTAATGAATGACTGACAGGACTTGTCAGTCAGTAATTCCAGCAGGAATTGCCACAGCTGTATAGGTCCACTGCCTGTTGGCAGAGAGAGGGAGAAACCATAATTAATACTTCTGCAAGCTCTCACCACAACCACATGCATGTGACCAGGCTCGTATCACAGATCTTGTAATTACTCTGATTTATCTCTTTTTAAAATCAGAAAGAAACCTAAGGTTTTACTCTATAGCATAAACCTCCTAAATGTGTTAAAATTAAAGCAAGCCAGCTTTTTCATGGAAACACAGGATTTGACTCAAGTTGGGTCTTTCCCTTTCGTATGGATCCCTCATCCTTCACTCCCACCTCCCAACCAGCTGCATTTCAAGCTCCAGGGCTTGTCCTGCACTCCTTGGCTTGGCAAATGTTTTGGAGGACAAACCAATTTCAGCAAGGACTACGGGAATAAGGCTTTAGCAGGCAAGCCAACACCGGTGGAAATTCCCAAATGTGGGAGATTTTGTCCCAGTTTCCCTCTTTTTCAAACAGATCAACAAGTGTATTTGATTTTCATGTGTCCTGACATACCTGTGGGTTCTTGCTGGGGGTGGATAATCCTATGAGGCTTTGTTTAGTGACATTTAAAACTGAAAATCTTCCTGACTAGTGGTCTCTACCCCCATGGCACACACTTATGGAGAATATTGATGTTGGTCTCTACCCCCATGGCACACACTTATGGAGAATATTGATGTCACCTCAAGAAGAGGAGTGACCATTTTGCTCCACAGCTTACCAGTGAAGCCAGCCAGGATGGCTGCTGGTATAACTGGTTTCCCTTGCTCCACAGGATCGCTCCTTTCTTGAATATAGTCTTTGAAAGACATTGTAGGTTTGCTCAGGCACAAGGACTGGCTACAGTCATCCTCAAAACTCTCATAGGATGGCACACGCTGTAAATCCACCAGGGAAGATTGGCTGTTCCAGGACTGCAACATGGAATCTGAGCTTTCATAGCTTTCTGCACCGCTGTCACTGGACTCATGTTCTCTCAGCTTACCTTTATAAAATAAAAAAAAAAATAAAAAAAATTGTGAATTGTTGGAGGTTTTTTCCCCTCCTTCTCAATCCACCCTGCACATATAAATTATGCAAAGGAGCAAAACACATTCAGAATTGAATGTGTCATGCAAGATAACGACTCACCAGAATTATCCATCAGCAAATTCAGGTTGTTCCTTGAGAAATCCTGGTTTACTGTGCAGTAGTTCACACCAACAGCATCTGCTTGGGCTTTAGGGAACAATGAAAACTCTTGTTCTGGATTGAGGAGATTCGGTGCTGTGGAAGTCTGACAGACGTCAGTCAGGAGGCTGGGTTTGGGATAACTGAGGGCTTTAGGGTATCCAGGCATTTGCATTCCATAGGAGTTCTGATCTACATTAACAGCTGAAAACAAGAAATGAAAGAATTAGATTATTTTTCCCTGCAGACCCTTAAACAAACTAATACACTAAATACACCAAATCAGATTCTGCAAATCTCCCCCTATAACCTGCCAGCCACAAATGTCTATTGTTTGTTCTCCAAGGAAACAAAAGGGCTACAGGAAAAAGGGGGAAGTTTAAGGTGGTTTTGAGTAAGGCCCTCACCATTAAGTGGTGTAATCAGGTTGAGCTGAAGATTGTGGTAGAATAAAATACAGCATCAATCAAACAATCTGAGGGAGCCAGCACTGCATCCCACACACTTCCAAAAGCTCCACTGCACTTCCACAGCCTTTAAAAAGCCTCAACATAAAACTCTTGCTGCTTCCCAGTAAATGGCAGTTTTTGCCTCTGTTTTCTACAGATGGGAGTGGTCATTCTGCTCCACAGATGGAGGGTTTGGCATTCCAAGAGGAAATTTAATTTTCTCCAAGCCTTTGCTCTTCAAAAGATTTCCGATATAAATTAGATGACAATTAAACAATACAAGGAAAGAAGGCTGCAGCAATTGAACTCAAATGTTCTCCTCAAGCACAGGAACTATTCTGGTGCCTTTTGTTTTTACACTGGAATCTGTGACATCCTTGGAAGTAACTGAAAGATGTAAAAAAAAAAAAAAAAAGACAATCTCTAAAAAATACTTACTTAAGGAATTATTGCTGACCCAGTGAGGAACAGAGGTGAGATGAGAGTTCTCCACATACTGATCCTGTGTTTTCTCTTGGCTGTCTGGGGAGAGGAGAAAAAGGAAATTTGGGGTTATAGTTTTAAAGATATGACCTGTGTGCCATGAAAAGCTTCTGAATCTTTTGAGTATTTCGGGATCAACACACACAAAAATTTAACTAACACAATACTGCAGTCTTTCTCTTGACAGAAACCACCCCAAAATACCCAACCAACTTCCAATAGGCTTGAAAACCATCACACCAATTGAATTTCAACATAAAACTGATACACAACAATAATTGCAGTGTGTGTTTCAAGGTCCAACTCTTGGTTAACTGGTTTTTTTTAATGAGGTATTTACAGTGGTCTTATCTTAAGCTCATTTATTTCAACGATTTTTCCCAAATAAAACCTGACCACAATAGGTACTCAGCCTTGCATACCAAGGACATATTAACAGTTCAGACAATAGTAACCAAGTTTTACAATTTATATGTAATAAAAGCTCTTCATAGTGAAACTGGTGTTGAGGTAGAGTCCCATATCTGTTTCTGCCAACAGAGCCCTAAACCAAAAAGCTCTTTTTGGCTCTCTAACTACCTTTTATCATCTGTTCCAGGTGTTCCCACAGAATATCACCCACATAGTCAGGTGCCAGTTCCAGGAAACGCTCCTTGCCCAGGTTGCACAAGTCTTGGCCACTCATAAGAAACTGGTGGAAGTTCACATTTGCCAAGCTAAACTCATTGGTAGCCCATGAAAGCCACTGGCAAACTTGCTGTTCAGTCCACAGCCAGGGATCTGCAAGACAGAAAGGACATTTACAGAATTTAGAGACAAATCCTGACCTTTGCCCAATGATTCATTAGAAAGCGGTGAATTTAAAAAATAAAATTTGTTTACACAAGTTACTTAGTTCCCAACGAATTCAGAATGAATGTGTTCTTGATTTTAAAAACCCCACAGTCCTCTCTTTTCCTTCTGCATTCACTTGGATGTCCTCAGCATAGCTGATTCTCTCTCATGCTGCCAAAACATGAGCTCTCCATGCACCCATTTTTAACACCAGCAAGCCTGGGCTTTCCAAGTCAAGCTGTGCCAGATTCACATAGGATCCATTCTTGTGTTTCCTACTGACATCACCCTTTCTCTTTTCAAAGAGCTGCTATTCAGCCTCCCCCCCTTAGCATTAAAAAAAAGAAAAAAAAAGGGCTCTTATAAATAGCAAAACACTTACTATTTGGGATACCCAGCCGACACTGTTCCTTTGTGAAACCACTGAAAGTATCTTTCAAGGCCTGACTCATCACAGCCTTGCTGCACGGGGTTAACAGAGGCAATTCACAGTTGTTGGACTCTGGGAGAAAGAAAAGGGGTGGAGGGGAGAAAAAGATACATTACATTTTAAGCCAGTGGAAGAAGACATGAGTTTTTGCTATTTGAAGCATAAAAAAAGACACTGGAAAGTTGTTGTTTTAAAGTCAGAGCCAAAGAACACAGATCCACTTCCTAAAATCTCTGTGCTACTCATTTGATAAGACTGAATCACTAATTAGAGCTTTGCAGCTTTCCATGACATAGATGATCCTTATTTACTACCAGTACTTTATAAAGTGCTTTCATTGCAGGGAAGCTTCACTATTATTTTTTGGGTGGTGTTTTTAGGGAAATGAGACTGCTTATTCCTATTTTGCCACTTACAGTTTGACCCCAGACTCCTTTATAACTCCAGTCTTCAATTAGTTTGAGAGCTAAACAACTGACAGGAAGGTTGTGGAGAGCCAGCCTGCGCCATTTAACTCTGTATTTCACACCTTTCCATGCATCTCTCCATCACCCAAGGACATGGCTCAACAGATTTTTCTATCATCTGAACCAAACAAGTGTGACTGGTAACAAGCTGGTACCCAGAGGGCAAATAACGGAACAGAACACAAAGTTGGCACCATTAAATGCCAGCGTAAATCACTAATCCACTTAACTGATCCTTAAATGTACAAGCAGATCTCATTTTAAGGCCAAGTTTGGCTTCCACTCAGTGTTTTATATTGTGCAATTTTCACCAGAAGATGCCTCATTTTATCACAGAATGGTTTGGGTTGGAAAGGACCTTAGAGCTCATCCAGTTCCACCCCCTGTCATGGGCAGGGACACCTTCCACTATTCCAGGTTGCTCAGAGCTCTGTCCAACCTGGCCTTGGACACTTCCAGGGATGAATTTCTGCACCTCTTCGTGCTCTCCCAGACTATCTACAGGCTCCACTTGATCCAGCCTGTGCTTAACTTCTGTCTTTACCACACCCTTCCTAATATCTGCTGGGACTTGCTTTGCTGACCAGAGCAGTGACTGATTAGAATCACATTAGAACAAAGCACCTGTGGTTTTCTGAGGTTTGGGGTTTGTTTTTCCCTTCCCTGAGGGGAGATAAAAGCAGCATCAGGTAAAATATCCACATTTTGGACAAAGCTCCCTGTTTTGTCAGGCATTTTAGGCGAGGGTTTGTAGAGAACTCTTGGTAAATACTGTCCTACACACAAATAAAAGTCATAAAATCTGTAAACATCTCCATCTCATTTTTTTATGGTATGGAATAAAATATAATGGGATTTAACACCAGTGGGTCAAAAAAGGAGCTTGCAGAATACTTGCATCTTAATTATGGTTGAGATGTTGCAAGTTTAAAAACACATAAAACTTTTTTAAGGTTTTTAAACTCTCAGTTCTTCTTTAACACCTACTAAGGCTTCTTCTGTGAAGAGTTAGCCTACAAAGCTACTGAATCCCAGTTCTTACTCCCTTTCAGGACAGAGAACAGCAACTATCCACAAAGAAACTCATGATAGAACACAGGAGTCTGGGCACTTAAATCACTATTTCTAGGGAAATCCACGTTGCACTTGTAAAAGTACAGCCAGGAAGTGTTAGTTAGCCCCCTCAAATTCCTGCCCTGCTGACCAGGCTAAAGGAACAAAACGAAGAGTTACCATAAGAAGTAGAATCAAATCCCGTTGGCACTTCTTGAAGCGTCTGGTCTTCGTTTAGCGAGAAAAAATACCCGGCAAAAAGAGCATTTGAGCTGTCAAAGGTGTCAAACGCCGGCTGACGCTGCAAAGGAACAGAACAAACCAAAGGCAACGTCAGCATTTCGCTCGAGAAGCGAGAACTTCACTGCTAGGAAGTGTCTGGGCTGGGTTTCCTAGATCTGGAGATCGAGAACAACCACGGTCTTGAACTTGTGCTTTTGAAAGAGAACCACAATGAGGGCACAGCTTCTTGTATGTGGATAAAACCCAGCCACCAGCGTGGGGTGGGTGGATGTTCTGCAGGTTACAGTAAAGCCAAATAAGGGTATTCTTAAGTTTTCCTGGAATTGAGGCTTTTAACACTACAGAATGCATATGTGTGTGTGTATATATATACATATATGTATAAATACATATATATATAAATAAATACACACATATATAAAATACATATATATATACACACATATATAAAATACATATATATATATATACACATATATAAATACATATATATACACATATATAAATACATATATATACATATATAAATACATATATATACATATATAAATACATATATATACACATATATAAATATATATATACATATAAATATATATACGCACATATATAAATATATATACACATAAATATATACATATACATATATAAATACATATATATATACACATATATAAATATCTATATATACATATATAAATACATATATATATATGTATTTATTTTCAGTTAAATTTTAAAGAAATCCTCATTTCCTTAACCCTTTAAATTGACTGTCCACCTAATAGCAGAGGCAGGAGCAGTAAATTATAGGAAAACAACTGCCAGGGTAAGACCTACAGTAGGTTTATGCAGCTTTTCTTTGTAGGAAAAAAAAAAAAAAAGGAAATATTAATCTGAACCACATCACTTGAAACTACATAGCCAGCCTAAAAGGACTTGGGGAAAGATGTTACTCCTTTGCTGAGATTTTTATATTTCTGAGTTACTGGTTTTGCAGTATTTTGAAGTCTTTCAAGTGCTCAGTGAAACGCTTCCAGTTTCATTATCCAGAAAGGGATAAACAGGACTGATAAAAGTGTTCCAGATAAAAAGGGGATTCTATTGTTGTATTGACAGCATTCAATAAATATTGTTATGTTTTTGAACACTTTAATCCTTTCAACTTGACACATGTGCCAACTGTGTGTGCTGGAACTACTGGTACCTTATTAGATCCCCCATCCACTTAGTCTTTGGGGGGCAGAAAGAATGTTAAGAAAGGCGGAAATAATTTCAAAAAACAACTTATGCAACTTCCCTGTTAGTCACAAAGAACCCATATCTGCAATATCTTGAGGCACAGATGGATACAAGTTACCACTGAGATTTTTAAAAGCACCTGAGGACAGAACATTGTTCTGGAAAACCACAGCCTGCTCATGGCAGCTACTGCAGCTCAGGGAGCTGGAGACAAACTTGCAGATGCTTCTTTGTTTTAGGCAAACACTTGGTTTGCCAGTTCATGCCAAAGGAGAGGATTTAGCTGAGGACAAGGCAAAGATTTTTGAGGGCAGCGATGCAAAAAGTGATCTGAACTGCGTTCCTGGAACAGCAAACGAGCGTTGATGTTCCTCCACAATCCCAAACTTTTCATGTCACCACAACCAGGATCACACCTTGGCTAAAGGTTCAGAAACCTCCTGGCCAGCAGAGACAAATTGTGTGCCTTTGGTTCAGGTACCCCCCAGGCAGAGGCAGAGCCAACCCCAACTGAATAAAACAAGTCAATAAGAGCTGCCAAATCTGTCGGTAAAAGATTCTTTATACATTACTAGATAAAAGCACTGAGTCATCACCAGCACCTCAAAGAAAGGGCAAGTTCTTTCAACACAATCTGGAAACTCCTGCATTTTGTGTAAATAGCTGACCCTTATCCTGAGTCACTGGAAAAAATGCTGTGGCATGTGAATGAGTAAAATCCATACCGTGCTAGTCTCATATTTCAAAAAGGAGAAGATTAATGTTTAAGCAGGTTCTTGATTTAATAGTAGTAAAAAGGGGAAAATAGTGTAGAATAAAGTCTGCTTGTTCTATCAGTTATGCAACTCTTTTAATTGGCCTTTTAACCTAAGAGTAATTATTACAGAATTAAATAAATGTGAACAGCTACAAAATAGTAAAATACAGGTCTCTACTTTGACTCAATTCTATGATAAGTGAATAATTGCTTAAAATAACCACTGTGTTACCGAGCACACAGTTGTTAAGTTGGGGGATCTCTTGGGTTTTACTGTAGCTGTGAGGAGGAGAAAAAAAGCTAAGAGGGGACACAAAACACCAGAGCAGTTCAGCACACCAGTCTCACTGACTGATTCCTCAAAACATGGACATTCCTCAAACTTAATGAGAGTCAAAAGTGTCTCCCTAACCTTTATTTGGTTCACATTTATCAGTGCTGTGTGAAAAGCTGACACTGGGATTAAAATGCAACTTGCAGGAATAGGGAGGAGGGAAACCCTTAAATGCTGAATCTTTACAGTCTGTTGCTCATCTGACCTCAGTTTGTAAATCCCTCTCAAAACAAGATAACAGACACAATCTAAAGGTAAAATATATTAAACAAGTATCTTTGTTTTCTCACAATGTAATGGATTTCCACTAGTAACAGTTGCAAGTAGTAAGTGAATAACCTACTTTTATTCCATACAATGCTTGGGAATGTACCAAACCCAACCAGTCCTATCAGAACAGCCCTCTGCCAGTCTCAAAGTTAAACACAAAGACCACCCCTGGTGCCCATCCTTTAACCTTTATTTAAGCCCAGGTTCCACCACCAACAACAAATTTGAGCTCAGTCCTTACCTACCTCTCATTTTCAAAATCTTAGGATTTAGGGAAGAGAGAGAGGGAGCCTCCTTGGGGAAGAGGGTTGAGGGGGCAAGATTTACACCTTCCTATTTCAGTTCTGCTTTTCACACCTCTGTGGAACTCAGGGGGAATACTGTGGAAGATGAGAGGGTACAAGGTTTCAGTTAAAACCTGTGTTGCCCTTCAGTTAAAATCTGGCTTATTCAATTCCTGTGCAATAAGAACACAATAAGTTCATCAGCTGGGAGATGCCCCAGGCGGGTTTAGGAGGTGACAACTCAGGAGAACTCACCTTGAGCATTCCTCTGTACATGTTCGACACAGGAGCTACTTGATCCATGTTCCTGATCCCAAAATCACTCATCTGAAAAATGAGAGGGGTCACATGAAAAAACACTGCCATGCAGGAAGCAAGCAGACGTGAACAGATGCATCCGACTGCTCCAGTGCAGACCATGGAACAGCTCACGGAATGAGATACAGGCAAAGCTTTCCTCCTCATTTGCCAACATCCCAACCACACAGGGCACGGTTCCCATCCTGCTTTCAAGCAGCTTTTTAACTGGAAGAGCTTTTACAAAGATTCTGTTAAGTCTGAAAAGCCCACAGAATTCCTTTGCCCACCAAGTATCTATTTCCTTGGACCTTTTCCAGCTTTCACCCATTATCTTAAGCCTTCAGCTTTGTGTTATTTTTGCTTACTGTATTCCCACTCACAAGCCATGATTCACTTCGGATTTTGGCTTTCAAAGGGAAGGAAGAGGAGTGACAGTGATACACCTTCACCTACTGCATTCACCCCTCTCACCCCTTTCTGAATAACCATTGAAGCCAATACTCAGCACCAGGAACCTCCTGCCTTTACCAGGCAGAGCATCTCCAAACCATGTTATCTTGGCACAATTTCTAAACACAGGATTACCATATTTATAAAAGCTCTAGAGGGCCTAAGTTTTAATTGAAATGGGTTTACACAGTAAAATACCCTTTTTAAAGAGCTGATAATGAGTCCACTGTCAGTATGTTGATGCCACTGAAGTCAAAGCTTTATCATATCGCCCTTATTACCAGGAATAGGGTTGTGAGAGGCCTGTGTAACTTGTTCTCCCAAATATCACTTAAGGAAAAGAGTGATAAGACTCATATCCTCTTACTGACCTATGGGAGAGATGAAACTTAAAGAATAAAGCCAGTTTTATGGCCTATTGTTCAGGTTTATTGTGATGCTGCAATTCAGGTGTCGGTGTATGATACCTTATCAGGCTACACTCCCAACAATTTTCCTTCCCCTTTTTCACAGCATCGGGCTAAATTCTCCTGCTCCCCAAAAACTGCCTGAAAACGTGCACTTGTATTTAAATAGGCACATAAGACACTATCAAGATTTCCACAAAACTGTGATCACTTATTACAAGCCAGTTCTCTCATTAGCCATGTTATCACAAGGCAAAAAAGTAAATACAATCTTAAATTCAGAAAGAGGTGGCAAATCAGGAGCTTAACAAAATAAGCCCAGCTTGTTAAAAACGACACTCAAAAGCTGTCCATATAAATAGGGAGGGAAATAAAAACATTCAGCAGCCAATGACAAGGAGCCCTTTCATCCTCTTAAACAGCTGATCACTTGAAAATAAAAAATAGGAAAATAACAAAAATAACACGAGTCCTTAACCTGAAAGGCTTATTTCAACTTCACTGTTATCAGACAGCAGTATCAGGCTTGTAATTGAAATAAAATAAGATAACTGACTTTGAAAAGAACATTCAATAACGTTAGCCAAAAAGTGCAATCTACTGAATGATGTTTTTTACCTCAAACAGCACGTACAAATATTTGATCTAAATTACACATCTCATTGAGCAGCAAAGAATTTTACACAGCATGAGTCTCACTCAGCAAGCATCCTAATCTGTTCATTAAATTTGCCACAGTTTAAACAACTGTTTATCCTTGTGTTCGGCTTCTAAAAAAAATACACCGATTTTTAACACTCTTCTGTTTTTGCTTTTAAATTCTGCTCTGGTGTCCGGGGATAACTGGCTGTAAGCCTGAGAGATTTGAGAGTATTTGGGAAGGTATTTTATGTATATTCAGCAAGTTTAGGTCTGATCCCCGGCTAGGGCTAGAAATAAGATTTCTGGCACTTGTGTGCAATTCTGACCTCTCCAACAAATCCTGTCAGGCATTTTCCCATTGACTAAAAAGACTGGGATACTCTCCTTCCTGGGTTTTATGTTGGGGTTTTTTTGGGGTTTTTTAGAGATGTTTAGGGTCCTAATACAAAAGGTTTATACCAAGTGCATTCCATGGCATTGCTCATTAACCCAAGTCCCTGTTTCTCCATGCTAGGCTGCTGCTCCATGGCCTTGCTGGAAGGAAAGCTTTGGAAAAACTAGACCAGTCGACTAACATATGAAGATCCTCAGCGTGTTTTGCAACACTCCAGTTTTCCTCCTCCAACCAAATATCTGAAGCAAAGGAATTTCTGTATCGTTTGCTCATCGCACACCAGCTTTCTCCCATCTGCAGCACAAATTCCCAGCCCCGAGATATGGAACCCTTGCAGAGTTCTCACCAGGCAAGCAGAGCTGAAAAGGCACCACGGATTTTCACGGCACAGAGGGCTGAAATCTGGCTTTCTGCTGGGCTTAGAAAGCTGCTGTTTAAGTTCAGAAAACACTCCGGTGTGACTGGGCCTCACCTCCAGCTCCTCCACTAATGCTGATGACTGCTGCTTGCCAGCTATAATTGGTTTAACTGGCAGGACACCTTCTTCAACACCCCCGCATAGCTGAGTGGGTGAACCAGAACAGGGTCAACAGGATCAGGCACTTATTAACTAATACTCCTGAATTCTGATCGCCTTCTTTTCAGCAACAGCCAGGTGCTTGCCCACAGCTGGATTCAGCTGGGAAGCATCCACATGGAGAACCGAGGCACGCTGGTACCCTCAATGTATCTAATGTACCTCCACTGTTATTTTTCCTTGAGGTTTTTATACACATATATATATTTTTGGAGGAGGGAAGGGTGCGGATAATGTGTCTGGTTGTCGTTTTTCTTTTAAATGGCATTTTTTTCAGACAAAAAAAGAAAACAAACAAAACCAAAACCACAGCTTCCTAGCAATAGGTTAGGAGCCAACCGGAGCACTGATTCCCCGCGCAGCCCCCGAGCTCCCCAAGCGGGAGATAGCCGGGAGCCGGCATGACTTCTCGCACACATGACACACTTCGCCCACATGAAAGTTCGATGGGGGAGATCACACAGCCCAAGGTTTTTTGTTGTTTTTTTTTTTTTTTCCCCGAGTCCCTTTAAAGTACTAACCAAATCCAGAGCGCGCTGCCCATTAACCCCTTCGTGCCGGCTCCCCTCCGCCCGCAGCTCCACCATCGCCCCCGGGGGAGGCCGCTCAGGGGGCTCGGGGGATGCGGCGGCTGTGATGGGCATCCCCGGGGGGGGAAGTGGAGACCACCGGGCGGCCGCGGAGACCCTTCGGCAGAGGCGCGATCCCTCCGGGCGGGGATGGATCGGGGCGCTCCGGCGTGGAAGGAGTCGGAGTATTCGGACGTGGAAGGAGTCGGGGCGCTCGGATGTGGAAAGGGTCGGGGCGCTCGGACGTGGAAAGGGGTCGCACCGACGAGCCACCCCCCTTCCTCTCTCCCTCCTCTTCCCTTCCCTTCCCTCCCCGCGGCCACCCCCGCCTCACCTGGCCCCCGATATCCCGGCGCTCCTGCGCGTCGCTCCCGGGGAGGCGGCACCGGCACCGCGCACACGGAGAGAGCCCAAAACAACGAGGCGCCGGGGAGCCAAAATATCCTCGATGTGGCCGCGCCGGCCAACAGCAACAACAACAGCGGGGCCGATCCCGGCGGAGAGTCCCGGAGAAGGAGGAGGGGCGGGAGCAGGGAGGGAGGGCAGGCGGGTGCCCGGCGGTGCGTGGGCGCTGCCGGCCGAGCCGCGCTGGTGCCCCCGGCCCGCGGCGCTGCGCTGATGCTGCGCTGGTTCGGCGCTGATGCTCCGCCGGTGCCTCCCCGCTCTGTGCCGTCCTCCCGCCCTCGCAGCGGCTCTTCAGCGGGCGGGAGGGAGGTGGCAGGACCCGCCTCCCCGCAAGCCCGGCCCCTCCGCTTGTTGTCGTGGCCGCCGCCGCCGCGGGTACCGACGCGGCCCCGCCGGCTCCTCGGTGATGCCCAAGCGCGGCGAGGGGAGGAACAAGAGGGGGGAAAGGCAGTTTTGTCTCGTGCGGAGAGGCGGATATTATTTTATCTTTTTTTTTTTTTTTTTTTTTTTTTTTTTTTTACGCGAGATAATTCGTGCCGGACGGTTTTCCGTGCTTTGTTTTTAATTAGTGCCTCTCTCCGCGCGAGATGGATGAGATTAGGAGAGTTAACCCCTGAAAATCCGAATATCTGTATAAATAGTCTACTTGGGCATTAGCAGGAATTACTTCGCAGAAAGGGTAATTAGAAATTCCAGTGTCTAATGTCTAATCACCCTTGGAGCAACGTGGTCTAGTGGAAGGTGTCCCTGCCCACGGCGGGGGAGTTGGAAATGGGTGGTCTTGAAGGTCCCTTTTCAACCTAAACCATCCTATGATTCTATGATTTTATAATTCTGTGATTTTATGAAGGGGCTGCCCAGGGAGGTGGTGGAGTCCCCATCCCTGGAGGTGTCCAAGGAATGACTGGACTTGGTACTCAGAGCTCAATCCTGGTTGACAAGGTGGGGATCGATCAAAGTTTGGGATGGATAACCTCAGAGATCTTTTCCAACCTAAGTGATTCTGTGATTCTGTGATTTCCATAAGTAAACTGTGACACTTGGAACTGTGGAACTTTCAGGGATTATGTCATGTTGCACCTTCCACAATTATTTTGGGGAGTTCTTAATATAAATGAGATGCAATGTGAAAGCTTCAGCCTGTGAATCTCAGATCCTGTGAAACAGAGTTGGCGTTCCTCACACCTTGAGGAAAATTTGGTGGCCCTTGGAAAGCTGCAAGGAGCTCAATGACACAAAAAATATGAAATAACTTTCTGTTACATTTATTTTGTCAAATTGAGTTCCCCCTGAGGGGTTGGAGAGACTTGGTGGAAGGGGCAGGGTGGCTTTTCTTAGGTTGGAGCCACCTAATTTTTCTGATTCTCTTGCCACGTTACCTACAATTGACTTATTATGTATCATAATAAACACTTTGGGAGTTTTCAAACAAGGGGATCCATGTGTGCTGCCCAGATCCCTGGCCTGGCTGTCCACTGGAGCCACAGTTTCTTTTTGCTTCCCCCTCGACTTCTCTGCATTTTCAGTCAACATCAGGGATCCAAACTGCACTTAGAGAGCTGGTTTTTAAGCTTGCTGTTATACCTTGCTTTATTTAAACTACCTCCCATTTCAAATGAACACTTGTGTCATAGGGTTGTAGCTTTTCTTGTAATAGGAGCCCACCAACTGCTACTTCTCAGTTCCTCACCAGATTTCAATGGATCCTTTATCTTTACCTGCAGATATTTTTGTCATTAAAAAGCCACAGTTTCTTGTGCAGTTGTCAGGGCTCCCTCTTATATTTCCCAGTTATTTCTGTCTGCAGCAAAAGCTGGACCATACAACTCGTTACCCCAGAGTAGAGTTCTTTAGCATTTCCTTCAGACTCTTCAGAAAACTTTCTCTGTAGAAAAGTGGGATATATTTCACTTCTCAGGGTCAAATGTTACCAGGAAAATTGTGACAAGTCTACTCTGAGAGACTTAAAAAAGTGTCTTGATTATGCCAATGACATTTCTTACTTCAGGAAAGTCCTGATCTAATAAGGCAACATCTGTTATAATCCTTAGGGAAACCATTAAAAACTGTATGTCAGCTGCATAGCAATTTTAATTATAACACTGACAAAAACAATTATGACACCCTTTATATAGGGGAAACAGCTGTCAAAAAGATAAGATGAAAGGCTGGGAGTTATTTATTTCTTGCTAAATTAACATTCTGGGACCCAGAGCAAAATTATTAACCCAGCCATATTTTGCTCTACTGAAGTGCCTTATTTTTAGGGAAATTCTTCTTATGTAAGAGTATTTCATTTCTTTAAATAATACTTATTGTTGGTATACAAATAGACTGTTGCTCCATTAGAAGTGGTATGTGCTTAGTGAGCACATGATGTATGAGGAGGGGCTGGGTTTCATTAGTTTGGAGGAAAAAAAAGCAGGCTAATGGGGAATCTCATTGCTATTTTCAACTACTTAATGGGAGGTTAGAGCAAAGAAAGAGCCAGACTCTTCCAGAAGTGCACAGTGGCAGCAGGGAAAATGCCAATTTGATATTTGGAAATGAATGTTCCCAGTGTGAGTGAAAGCTCTGTCTGTGGGAGTCTCTGATCGTGACTGGCCAAAGCAGAAGGTCAGAACTGAGACCTGCAACTTTCCTCTCCAGCCTGAGCTACTCTATAATTCTGTGATCCCTCTGCTCATTTGCAAAATGTAGCATTTTTAAGCTAGAGAGTCAAAGGAAAAATTACTTTGCTTTGGTTTTGGTTCTATTTTAGGAATTGTCCATCCTCCTCACAATTTCTTTAGCTCTTCCCCATATTTTTATTTTTCCTGCATGTGTTGTCACACTGTCAACCAGAGACAAAAGGGGGAATTCTGTATCAACTTAAGAAAAATTATGGAATCAGCATCTAGCTTCAAATTTTTGAGATTTTGTTGTTGTTGTTGTTTTTGTTGTGGCAGATCTACTGGTGCTTTATTCTTTTTAGCAGGCAAAACTGGTGGTACTCAAGAGTAAAGTGGCTAGAAAGGGATAAAGACTAAAGAACAACATGTTGCAAAGTCCCCTTTTCTGTGGTAGTTCAGATAAATAAGGCTTTTTTTCAGTCCTTCTTACTTGTAATTTTTTTGTTTGAATGAGGACCCACACTGCAAGTGAGTGCTAAGGAGTTATTTCTGCTTTTTTAACTCTCTTTCTCTGCAGTGGTGTCTCAGAAATAAGCTGGGAAACTACCTTCTTGTAGAGAAATAAGGTAAAGGAACTTGTTAGATTTTTTTTTTTTTTAAGTGCCTAAGAACGTGGCATTTTGGCCTGGAAGCAATGGATGGTTGTCCAAGGAGGGGGTCATTTGGCCCCGTATTTCTGATTTGAGCAGCTGCAAAGCTGAACTGTGGGTTCCTTGGAGGCAAAGAGCAGCAGCTGATGGTCAAGGCATCCCAGGGAACGGTGCCTGCACACGAAATTCTTACAGGGGACAACAAAGAGGGGGAATAAGATCCTAAAAATGTGGAGGTCTAAAGCACGGAGAGGTATGTGGAAGAGCTGCATTGCAGCCGGTGCTCCGGAGCAGCGATGACTTACTCCTCCAGAATTCCTCTTGCGCCACGGGGAGAGGACACAGAGGAGTGAAAATCCCTGTCGCGCTGTCAAAGTATGTGTCGCTCCCTCATCTGCATGTTGGCTCAGCTCCTCTGCCTGAGTATGTTTGGGGTGCACGTGTCCTTCCTCCTCCTCCTCCTCCTTCTCCTCCTCGTCCTCCTCCTCCTGCTGCTGCCAGGAGGAGGTTTTGGCTGGAGCATCCCTTGCTGCGGGACCCCCAGGGGTGTGTGGTGGGCACTCAGGGGTCCGGGACAGCTGATAACCCTGTGCCTCCTCCCTATTCCTACAGCCCCAGCGATGCCTCCCCGTTCATTTGCATTCAGCAGCGTAAACAAACAGAGCCGTCCTGAATTTGAAAGAAAAGGCCGTATATTTGTGCCCCTGAAAGACAATTAACAATGAAGCTCCAGTAGTGACCGGCTGTAAGTTCGCGGCATAAAGGCTCTCAGGAAATAACATCTTAGAGAAATAAAGGCCCGGCTCTCTTCTGACTCGAAATAGCGACTTCAAACAAGACACTATTATGGCCGAAACAAAGGATGAAACTCATTGACTCTGCCTTTCAAACGCAGCTAAACCAAAATATTTATACAGGTTTGGGGAAGGGGGGGGGGGGGGGGGGGGGGGGGAGCGAGGGGTGGGTATCAAACGAATTTTTACTCGGACTTTTATTCTTCACAGTTAAAGCCCCGCTGATTTTCCCCACCAAAAAAAGTTCTCTCCGCAGTGTTTGGTGCGCGAAGTGTGACCAAGATCATTTCTGTGAGGGCATCTCAGTGAGTCACAAAGTGCAGGGAGTTATTTGTGTGTGTGTGTCATTATTCTGAGCACATGCAAACCAACAGGAGTAATTACTGACAGAGGGAAAAAAACCCAACAAAACAAACTACGGCAAAGTTTGAGCAGTAACAGAAATCGCCACGTTTTGCCCATAAAGTGCCACGTTTCACCTTCATAAAACTGAAAGAAAGCAGGTAAACTCCCAGCTCCATAAAGTGTAAAAATCTGAAGTCCTTATGTGCTTCTGGGTTTTTATTAATTAAGTGAAAATGTTACAAGCATGCACAAATAATGTTGCCAGCGGACAGGGGAGATGCCTAACACATGAACTGTAGGATGATGCCTCATATGACTGAAAAACCTAAACCTTTTTACCTTTCCTACTAAAGCACAAGATTAGTTGTTAAACTAGCTAGTGCTTAAGAGATTGCTCATACCATTTTGGGTGTTTTTAATCCATTTCATGCATTCTGAGGCATAAAATAAAAAGCACATGTTAATATTTTAAGGCCAAGTGTATTCAGAAACAACAGAGTTTAATAATTTCTTTGGGATGACTGGGTTCAAAAAAGCATGTTTGAGCTTCCTTCAGCAACAGAGTTTTTTCTTTCATTCCCTGCATTTCATATACTGCTGGTTTCATTTAAGAATCATTTTGTGCACAAGCTTATGATTCTCCTGGTCAGCTCACTAATCACTGTGATGTGGCCTTCAGTGAGGTAAGGGCAGTAATTCATCCTGCTGGGTATGGTGCCACTCTTCTCTTCCCCTGTCACCAAAAAATACATGAGTTTTGCATCTGCAAAAGTTTGAGAGGGGGGT